GCCACAAACCCTCCTCCGCCACAAACAGCCTCCTCCACCACAAACGTCCCGCTCCGCCTCAAATGACCTCCTCTGTCACAAATGCCCTCCTCCGCCACAAACCCTCCTCTGCCACAAATACCCTCCTCCGCCCAAATACTTGTCTGTGTGTGTTTGTGTGTTTGATTGTGTGTGTCTGTCTCTATGTGCATTTGTGTGTGTCTGTATGTCTCTCTCTCTCTCTCTGTTTGTGAGTGTCTGTGTGTCTCTCTGTGCGAGCCTTCAGCTCCCCTCTCGACTCTCTTCCCCCTCCTGGCTCCCTCCTTTCCCTCCCCTCACCCTGATCATTTCCCCCCTCCTCGCTCCCTCCCTTCCCTCCCCTCACCCTGACCATTTCCCCCCTCCTCGCTCCCTCCTTTCCCTCCCCTCACCCTGACCATTTCCCCCCTCCTCGCTCCCTCCCTTCCCTCCCCTCACCCTGACCATTTCCCCCCTCCTCGCTCCCTCCCTTCCCTTCCCTCCCCTCACCCTGACCATTTCCCCCCTCCTCGCTCCTCCCTTCCCTCCCCTCACCCTGACCATTTCCCCCCCTGCTCGGGTCATGACCCAACTGTGCAGCGCCTTGGGACGTCCTCCCGACGTGAAAGGCGCTTTATAAATGGAATCTTGTTGTTGTTGTTGTTGTTGAGTATGTTTGTGTCTTCCTCTCTGTGTGACTCTCTATGTGTTCATGAGTGTCTCTACGTGCGTGTGCGTCTGAGAATGCGTGTCGCTCTGTGAGTGTGTGTGCGAATCCCTGTGTATGTGCGTCTCTCTCTCTATACCTGTGTCTGAGAGGTGGGATTTGAAAGGGGGGAGAGGGGGGGCACGGCCGCGGGGTCGAGGGAGGGCATTGCACAGTTTTGGGGAGCGGTGGCTGAAAGTGCGGCCACCGATGGTGGGTCGGAGGGTGCGAGGGACGAGCGGAGGCGTTGACCGGGTGGTGGATTGGGGGGTGAGGAGGTCGGAGAGGTGCGATGAGGCCAGAGCCAAGGATTGACTTCTCCTCATCTCTCTCCCTCCTCTCTCTCTCCCTTGTCTGTCTGTCTCTCTCTCTCTCTGTCTCCCCCCCTTCGCTCTCTAACCCCTTCTCTCTTTCTCTACCGCTTTCTCTCCCCCACTTCTCTCTCTCTCCATCTCTCTCCCCCCCCTTCTCTCTCTCCCCCTCCCCCCCCCCCGCTCTCTCTCCCCCTCCCCCCTCTCTCTCCCCCCCTCCCCCCCTTCTCTCCCCCCATCTCTCTCTCTCTCCCCCTCCCCCCTTCTCTCCCCCATCTCTCTCTCTCTCCCCCTCCCCCCCTCCCTCTCTCTCCCCCTCCCCCCCTCTCTCTCCCCCTCCCCCCTCTCTCCCCATCTCTCTCTCCCCCCTTCTCTCTCTCCCCCTCCCCCCCCTCTCCCCCCATCTCTCTCTCCCCCCTTCTCTCTCTCCCCCTCCCCCCCTTCTCTCTCCCCCTCCCCCCCTCTCTCTCCCCTTCTCTCTCTCCCCCTCCCCCCTCTCTCTCCCCTTCTCTCTCTCCCCCTCCCCCCCCTCTCTCTCCCCTTCTCTCTCTCCCCCCCTCTCTCTCCCCCCCCCTCTCTCTCCCCCTCCCCCCCTCTCTCTCCCCTTCTCTCTCTCCCCTTCCCCCCCTCTCTCCCCATCTCTCCCCCTTCTCTCTCTCCCCCTCCCCCGCCTCTCTCTCCCCTTCTCTCTCTCCCCTCCCCCTCTCTCTCCCCCTCCCCCCTCTCTCTCCCCTTCTCTCTCTCCCCCTCCCCCCCTCTCTCCCCCTCTCTCCCCCCCCTCTCTCTCCCCCTCTCTCTCCCCTTCTCTCTCTCCCCCTCCCCCCCTCTCTCTCCCCCTCCCCCGCCTCTCTCTCCCCTTCTCTTCCCCCCCCCCCCCTCTCTCCCCAGCAGACCCCCAAGCCCCGGGGGCCCAGCAGGGCGAGGAGACCCGCGGAGCAGACGAGGAGCCGCCGGCAGAGGGCAGCGAGGGCTACCCGAGGCCGGGGCCGGGGCATGTGCGGGCCCGGCCAGGGCGGGTGGCGGGCCGCGGCTGGCCCGCGGGCCGGAGCCTGGAGGAGGACGGGGCCGAGGGGGAGGAGGGAGAGCGAATAAAGACCGAGGCCGTGTCCGACGAGGAGGAGCTGGAGGCCCGGAAGGCCCTCCCGCAGGCGAGGCTCAGACCCGAGTGCGTGGGCCCCGCGGGCTTCAGGCGGCGTCAAGTGCCGCGTCGGCCTCCGACCCCGACCTCGATTTCGGCCTCGCCGGCCGAGGACGACCCCGTGCGGCTGCTGCTGGACCGCGTGAACGCGGCGGTGCGGAGCGGCCTGGCCCCGGTCCAGCGCTGCGCCGAGCAGCTGCCCGAGGCCCTGGGGGAGCTGCGGCAGGACCTGGTGGAGGAGATGGGCCTCCTGAGGGACGAGATGCGCTGCCCGGGCCCCGCGCACCCGCCTCGGCCCTCGCCCCACCCCGACCCCGAGGCTCTGGTGGAGGCCCTGGAGCGCTCGGTGTCCATGGCGACCGGCTCCCTGTCGCGGGCGGTGGCGGGAGGCCTGGCCGCGCTGTGCCAGCAGCTCGAGCGCTCCATGGCGGCCGGGTTCCTCCTGCTGGCCGAGGCCCTGCGGCGCCGAGAAGCCTCGGGCTCGAGTTCGGCCTCGGCCCCGCGCCGCCGGCAGCAGGTGTCGGTGGCCCAGCAGACGGACGAGAGCTTCGCCGCGGCCGCCGACACGCCGTCCGCCAGTCAGTCCTCGTCCCCCGCGGCCTGGGACACCCAGGCCCTGTGGTGGGACCTGCCGCTGGAGGAGCAGCACCAGCCGGGCCCGGGTCAGGCCCCCCGGCGGCCGCCACCCCCCTCCTCCTCCTCCTCCTCCGGCTCCTCTCCCGCCTCCTCCTCCCCTCCCGCTCCCGGAGCAGCAGCAGCAGCGCCGCCGCCGCCTCACAGAGGCAAGAGGAAAGAAGGCGGCGGCGGCGGCGGCGCGCCGGGTAACCGCACAGCCTCGGCCAAGAGGGCGCGGAAAAGAGACACATAGGGTTATTGGGAGGGGGGGAAGAAGAGAACATGGGGGGCAGAGGCTGTGAGGACCATTGCAGGTCCACTGTGGGGGGAGTTGGCGCGGGGGTTGTTGTTATGGATCCCATTGGGAGGACCTGAGATGGATCCCTTGAAGGGGGAGATGTTTGGTCCATTTGGGGTGTGGCGGGAGGTCCATGAGAGGAGAGTGGGGGGGGACTGGTAGGTCCATTGGGGGTTGGGAAGGTAGCTTCTTGTGGGGGGCGGGGGGGGGGGGGAGGTCCATGGGGCAGGTAGTCTTGCGTTCGGGGTGAGCGAGCCAGCGCCAACGCGGAGTAGACGGGGCCGGATGGCCTCCCTCTGCGCTGTAAGCTTTTCTCGTGACGCCGCCGAGACCCGACGGGCCAGTTTTTTGATGGTGGGGGTTGGTGGTTGGTGGCGGAGGGGGGAGGGGGGGGGGGGGAAGCGTGTAAATATCTGTAAATCTTGTGAATAAAACAAAATGCGTTCTCTTGGGGCTGCGTCCTCCGCTGTGTGCGTTTCACCAAAAGTGTACAGAGTTGTACCCGTGTTCACTCATCTGTGCAACACATATATATATATATATATAATTTTGAATGTGTTGCACAGATGAGTGAATACGTGTACAACTCTACATATATATATATATACATACATACGCACACCTGTAAGAGATTTCCGGCAGGGTGAAACCTTGGGCAAGTTTCCTTACTCCACACGCCTAATAATCCCTCAAAAAACACAATCAATTGGGTCATTTCAATCCATGACTGTTTGCGGGACACTGCTGTGCGTTTCACCCACAAATATGCAGTCAATTCACTTTACAGTCTATTCTGTGAAGCGCTTTTAAGACGTCTACAAGATGTGAAAAGCGCGATATCAAATGCAATTATTATTATTGTCTCTTAAACCTATCGCAGCAACGAGTTTACATTGATAAGAGGGCATTTCATGTTGGGACCTCACAGAGGCACCAACCCCAGGAAATAAGGTATCAATGCAGCTAATATTAGCCAATTAATACTGCGGCTAATTATGTAATATCAATTAGATAGCCTTCCATTTCTGGTTGCAGTCCCGAGATTAGGTATTGGCTCTCTCGGGGAAAATGTGTCCCGTCTTTTGAGGTTCAGCAACAAACGATGCGAGAATAAAACTCTATAAATAAACAGAACACTCATCAGCAGAGAAATAGCCCTTCATCCCACACTTCCCTCCAGTGACTGCCAACGGCAGGAATTGTGGTGAGTTCGATCTTTTTATATATATATAAGTGATATGTCCGATATAAGTGATATGTCTTATCAGATGATGGGAACCTCTGACCGCTCTGTGCACCACAGCCCTCCGGAGCTGCCGCCGCTCCGACTGAGTCGCTGTCGGCGCAACAGCGCCTTATAACCGCCCGCTCACTCCCTCCCTCCCGCCCGGCTCCTCCTCCGCCTGGCCAAAGAGTGCGACACCCACACCGCGTTTCCAGCCCCGTAACCCGCAGCACCGGTCACCCGCCCGCGCCGCCCCACTGCCCATCCCTGGCTCGTGCCACCGGTTCGGTTAATGAACGGCGGGCGGTTGCGTTTTGAAACGAAGGCTTCACCCTCCGAAATCAGGGGCCGAGAGAGAGGCCTTGTCTCCGCGGTGCCGAGAAGCATATCGTTCCGCACGAGGGAGGGCCCAGTGAGGGCCGACTGTAGTTTGACCGGAGTTGTTTTTTTTCCCCCCCACACACATGTGGTTGGAGTGGAGAGTGTGTGACAGGGGCTGAATCGCTGAGGTCCGAAAATACCTGAAAACTATTGCAGTCGTGTGTGTTTTTTTTTTAACCTTAACAACTTTAAATTTGAAAATAAAAAAATATTATATTTTTATGGGTGTTTGGAGGCAGAACTTTGGGGGGGGGGGGGGGAGAAACTTTCGAATAATGCCCACTGGGACAAACCGACAGGACGTCAGGTGCTGCTTTGGTGGGGGAGGGGGGGGGGTCTGTATTTGGTTGACTTTGGGCTAAACCCATTATAAATTCTGCCATTTCTCCATTGGAAGGGGCTCAGATATCCGCAGCATAATTGGAGATGGTTTGTTCTGGGGCGTGGCCTTGTGTTTTGGTTGTCCATTGGGGGCCTCTGCGCCTCACAAGTGGTGGTGTTCGACTTGGGGGACAAGTGGGGGAAGATGTCTTGGGCTCCTTCCTCCCTGGAGGGCAGCGCTCGGCACAGCCGCTTCTGGTCCCACGCGGACTCCGAAGAGACGACGATGGATTCGGAGGAGGAAGGCGAAAGGGAATGGCTCTGTAGGGCTGAATGCTTTGACCCCAAACCCCTGACTCCTCTCGGGCGTCCAGGCAGGTTAAGAGAGTTCAAACGTTATCTCTGATAACCTTTGCGTTTGACACTGTCGCTGAGGCGTCTGGAAGCGCATCGCGGAGTATGCTGTAAAGTGAATTGACTGTGCGTTTTGAGCGAAGGTTGAGAGTTCAGTGCAGGTTCAGTTGCGTTAAGAGAGTCAGTGAGGCGGAAAGAATCTGTTTTGAATTTCCTTTTTATTTATTTTTTTGCTTAAGTTTCTGCAAACGTTAAGAACAGAAACATTTGGAAGCACTGTCCCTGCCACGGTTGCTGATAAATAACCGTTCTCGTTGCAATTGGTACATTGACTGCAAAGCGCTTCACACGATTTACTGTAAAGTGTACTAACTGTGCCTATTTTAGGCAAACGCAGCTGCCAATTTGCGCACAGTAACAGTCCACAGGTGGCCAATTTGGTTGCCGAGACTCTGTTGCTTATTTTACGCGAGTGTGTACGAAGGAGGAATATGCGCCATTTGACTGAATACTTTACTCCTCCAGTTAATCTTGTGTGTTTCCTCAGGTTCAAGCCTCCAGTTTGCTGCCCCAGAGACCACTGCCGCAGATGGCAGGGTCATAGTGCACATCGACCTGGATTGCTTCTACGCACAGGTAGAAATGATCCGAAACCCTAAATTAAGGAACAAACCTATAGGTAATCAAACTGTACCTCCTTTAACAAATAATAATAATTCTTGCATTTGATATAGCACCTTATCACATCTTCAAGATGTCTCAAAGCGCTTCATAGAATATACTATAAAGTGATTTTATTGTATATTTAGTGGGTGAAACACGGAAGCCAATTGGGCACAGTAGTGTCCCACATAAGGTCTTGGATCAAATGTGAGTGAGTGCCCAGTGAGTGTGGGTGTACAGTACAGTGCTAGTGAATGTGTGTACAGTCCAGTGCTCTCCAAATCCTCCTTCTACTCCAAGGTTATCTTGGAGGCAAAGGACAACCCCCGGCTTCTCTTTTCCACCAAAAACTGTCTGTTCAGTCCACCTTCCCACGCCTCGCCCATCTTCTCCTCAAACTCCAACTGTGAGGAGATGCTGGACTTCCTCCAATCCAAAATCGAGGGGATACGTTCAGCCACTTCTGGTCCGTCCACAGCCACCCCCACATCACCTCTCCCTCATGATCCACACCCACCCATCCCTCCCTATACTCCTATACCCTATTTCTTTCTCCTCCCTCACCACAACTGTCTGCAAACTCAAGCCCAACACCTGCTCCCTCGATCCCATCCCCACTCTCATCTCCCAGCTCCACCTTCAGACCCCTCTCTTGTCCGACGTCTTCAACCTCTCCTTGTCCACTGGTTCAGTTTCCACCTCCACTAAAAACAGCTGTCATCACCTTCATCTTGAAAAAACCTTCCCTGGATCCATCCCTTCTCTCCAGCTACCTCCCCATCTCTAAACTCCCATTCCTCTCCAAGGTCCTGGAACGAATCGTCGGGTCTCAGCTCCACTCCTTTCTTTCTCGCCATTCCCTCTTTAAATCCCTCCAATCCAGCTTCCGCGCTGCACACAGCACAGAAACAGCTCTGGTCAAAGTCACAAATGACGTTCTGAACATCTGTGATCAGGGCTCTCTCTGCTTCCTTGTCCTCCTCGATCTCTCTGCCGCCTTCGACACTGTCGACCGCTCCATCCTCATACACCGCCTCTCCTCTTTACTTAATCTTTACAGACTTGCCCTTGCCTGGTTCGATTCCTATCTCTCTCACTGTCTCCACTTTGTTGCCTCTAACGGTTTCTCCTCTAGCCCTCACACTGTCACGTCTGGCGTCCCCCAGAGCTCTGCCTTGGCCCTCTCCTCTTTGATATCTACATGCTCCCCCTTGGTGACATCATCCGCAGACATGGGGTCAACTTCCACATGTATGCGGATGACACCCAACTCTATCTTTCTGCCTCCACCCTCACCTCCAGGACCACTGCTGTCCTGACAGACTGCCTGTCGGACATCAAGTCCTGGATGATGGCAAATTTCCTACAGTTGAATGTGAACAAGACTGAGGCCCTCCTGATTGCCTCGCGCCAACGCCTCAGCACCTCAGGCTCTGGCAGCATCAACCTCCATGGTTGCACACTACAACTCACCAGCCAGTCAGGAACTTAGGTGTCTTGTTCGACCCTCAACTGTCTTTTCATCCCCACATCCAAGCCATGACCCACTCTGCCTTCCCTCACCTCCGTAACATCGCCCGAGTCCGCCACTATCTCACCACTCAGGCTACTGAAACTCTTGTTCATGCCTTCATCACCTCCAGGCTCGACTGTGAAACGCCTGTTCGGCCTTCCCAACTCCCCCCTTCACAGGCTTCAGATAATCCAGAACTCTGCAGCCCGTATCCTTTCTCCTCCCTGACCCCATCTCCCCCATTCTCGTCTGTCTCCATTGGCTCCCTATCCTTCAGAGGATCCAGTTCAAGATCCTGGTCCTCATTTACGAAGCCCTCCATGGCCTCGCCCCACCCTACCTCTGCGACTTCGTAACTTCCTATCAACCCGCCTGCTCTCTCCACTCAGCCGGCTCTGGCTGCTCCACGTCCCCCGGCCCACCCAGTCCACCATTGGTGGGAGAGCCTTCAGCCACTCTGCCCCAAACCTGTGTAACTTCATCCCCCAATCACTCTGCTTCGCTCCCTTCTTAGCCTCCTTCAAGTCCTGCCTCAAGATTCTCCTCTTCGACCATGCCACCGGCCACCCCCCCTTCCCCTCCCTTCTCCCCTCCCCACGACCCCAGCTTGGGGCTGAAATGCTGTACACTGTCCAGCGCCTTGGGACAACCTCCTGACGTGAAAGGCGCTATACAAATGTTATCTCGTTGTTGTTGCCCAATAATTGTGGGTGGTGTATTGATTGACAGGTGGGTTGATGGGTTGATTGACGCATCACTGATTGACTGATTTATGTAGTATATTGCTTCTCTACAGGTGTTCACCAGAAGTATTTGATGGTCACTTGCAATTATGAGGCCAGAAAGCGTGGGGTTAGTAAACTCATGTTGTTCAACGAGGCCAAAGAGAAATGTCCTGAGCTGGTTATGGTCAACGGGGAGGATTTGACCCCTTACAGAGAAATCTCATACAAGGTCACAGGTACCTCAAGCTGCTGTCAAACTTCACCACAAGCTTGGAATCTTTCTTTCTTGGATCCTTTTTAGGAACAAATCATTGGGGGCAGGGATTCCTTCCACATGACTCCTGTTGAACAATAACCAGGGGAGGGGTAGGGGCTGGTGCTGCCCATGCGAATGAATTACCTCTGACTCATGATTTCAGAATCATGGCTTTTGATTTCAGAATTACTGGAGGAGTTCAGTCCGCTCGTGGAGAGACTTGGCTTTGATGAGAACTTTATTGATGCAACTAAATTGGTGGAGAAGAGACTGGGACAGATAGGAGGTGGCAGAGACCCCACAGAGATCTATGTATCTGGTCACATCTACAACAACCAGGGTAGGCGCTCCACTTACAGAACATTGGCAGGCGAAAATTCCAAGATGGGTCACCGTAATGCCGAGGAAAGTAGACATCCTCTCGTCTCCAACTGCTCTTCCCAAATTGTCTCTCTAAATCCTCTCTCTCTCTCCAAATCATCTCTTTCCAAAACACATCCTTTTTCCAAATAGTCTCTCTCTGTTTCTGAACCACCTCTCTTGCTAAACTACATTGCCTTTCATTCAAAATTGACTTCTCATTCCAAAACACTCCCCTCTCTTTCCAAATTGCCTTTCTCTCCCCTCTCCCTCGACTTTCTCTGCTGTAATCTTGGATCCTTGCTTCTCTGACCTTTCCTATTCATTAGCCTTCTCCATCCTCCTCCTTGCCGTGTTGATATCAAGACTAGGTTTAGTGTCTCACACTTTTGCGGATAGCCTTCCCCAATAGTGTGGCTTTTTCCCAATGTTATCCAGACAGCTTGGGCGCCTCCCCCTGATGTTGGGACTTGGACACAGGGGCGAGACTGTGGCTGACTGAGCCGACTCTTGCACGTTAACATTGTTGATCTGTGCAGCTTTAGACACCAGCGACGGGAAGCAGGTGCGGTTGGCGCTGGGCTCCCAGGTTGCGGCTGAGATGCGGGCTGCGTTGCACAATCGTCTGGGGCTGACGGGCTGTGCTGGAATCGCCTGCAATAAGCTGCTGGCTAAAATGGTCTCCGGCACCTTCAAACCCAACCAGCAAACCACACTGCTTCCAGACAGCACCTTGCAGCTCATGAGGAGCCTTACGCAACCCCAGCAATTAATTGGTAAGAGCTCCCTGCTTTAATCTTTTATCCTTTACCTTCAGTGCTTTTATTTACTGCTGCTACTTCTGGCATTCTTGCATTTGCAATAGTGCTTTTCACGTCGGAAAGACATCTGAAAGCGCTTCACAGGCTTTGTGTAAGGTGTAGTGTCTACCACTCCTCACACATTGGTTCACAGATCATCCATGTTGCTTCTCACGGGACCTTCCCATTCTAAGTTCCCCCATCCACCAACTCTGTGTCTGAACTCATTCATTTGTTTCTGTCGATTTTGATCCCATCAATCTTTCTGTCTGGGATTTTCTAGGAATTGGGTATAAAACTGCCAAGCGGCTGGAGGCTCTGGGAGTCAGAACGTTGTCTAGTCTGCAGACAATCCCCCTGCATGTGCTGGAGAAGGAACTGGGATCATCTGGTGCTCAACGCATCCAGAGACTGAGCCTTGGAGAGGATAAATCTCCTGTGACTCCCAAGGGACCACCTCAGGTAAAGCTTCTTCAATGCTATGCTTCCCCTGAGTCTAGATTTACTCGATTTTGTTTGGCAATTACAAGCAGCCTTAATTTTTAAACCAGTTCCATATGGAAAATATTGCCAAATTCTGCCTGTGTAAAATGCTCAGTAAATAGTCTGTCTCAACACAAGTGGAATTTCTCCTCTTGTTTTACACCAGTCAACCAACAACCTGTAGTTATATAGCATCTTTTACATAGTTAAACATCCCAAACAACCTTGCAGAGATTTGAGTGGGATCCTGTGAGGGTGTTTATTGTTATCTCAGGCTGGTTTGGATACTATTAAAGACGGTGATGAGTTTCTTAATGTGACACAAAAAAGTCAGAGGTTAGCATGAAACCTGTTCAACTGAATAATGGCCACTTGAACCAGGTATTAGTGTATCCACAAACGTGGAGCCCCAGAAGATGGGAGGAAATGGAAGAAATCCAAATGTTTCCTTCTTCCTAGTGAAGCTCTCTCACCTCCGCTTAACTCTTTCAGCTGAACGTAGTCAGACTCTCAGGGGAAGATGGCTTGTTCTAAACCGTTTGGTTATCTTATTTGGTATCTCCTCTTCAGTCCTTCAGTGATGAAGATTCCTTCAGGAAATGCACCTCAGAGGCCGAAGTTAGAAGTAAAATTGAAGTGCTGCTGACGAGTCTTCTCAACAGGTTTGTGAGCTCTTTCCCTTCATGTTTGTGTTCAGTTTCAAACCCCCCCCCACCACCTCTGCTGGCCTGCCCCGCATAAAGGACCTTATACAAAAATTAAATTGTTGTTAAAGACATGGCCTCAGGCTGAGAATAGTCCTATGGGTCCCAGACTCCTTCAGTATCTTAGCCAGGAGGCCATTCTTTTTGATTGATTTTAGATAATGAGTTTTGGAAGGCTAAGGAAAAGTGTAATTACAGCCCAGCCCTTATCTTATCCTTGCTGATATCTATCTGCACATGCATTTCCCAGAGGTGGGGGTCGTGGTTACTGGATGAGAATCAAAAGCGGGAATTCTGCCAGTGCTTTTTTTTTCTAATTTCTCCCAGTGCTAACCAAATCTTGCTAACCAAGGTTTTAAGATGAGCTCGGTGAGCTCCACCGTGGGCCTCAGTATGGCAGCTCTGTGATGGGCCTCGGCGAGGCAGCTCCATGGTGGGTGGGCCTCATCGAGGCAGATCCGCGGTGGGCTTCAGCGAGACAATCCTCAGGTTCTCAACCTGGAAATTCCTAATGGGAACTCCTGCAGGTGATTATGAGGGAACCGCCTATCCAGTCTTGACTACAAGGCGGCCATTCTTTAGTGTTTTATAAAAATATGGGCCTGGCGCTTGCGTTCACTGAAGAGTCAACACAAGTCACTGCTAATGTTTTGATCTCACCCCCACAGGCTTCAGAGAGCTGGACGGACTGCACGGACAGTACGGCTGACCATTCGCCGTATCCCTACCAACAGAGGGTTTAACTACCGGGAGAGTCGCCAGTGTCCGGTTCCCTTGCAGCTGAGACGAAAACTGAGCGAAGGTAATGCTTCCAGATCTCTGCTCCGTGTCCTCTCCCTCACTAAGCCCCATGAGACCATCTCAGCTCCACTGGCTCTCAACTTCCAGAAGATCAAACTCAACATCCTTCATAAGCCCTCCACAGCCATTGCTATTTCTACCCTTGCAACTTCCTATACCCAAACTGTCCCAGTTGCTCTCTCTGCTCAGCAAACGCTGTCTGGCTGGCATGACCCCTGCTTAAACCATCCGTGGACAAGCTATTCCCCTGCTCTGTCGAACTCCATTCCCTCTGCCCATCCCTCTCCAGCTCAAGATCCATACACTTTTGCAACCTCTCCCCCCAGCACCCCACACAGTCAGTTATGTGAAGCATGTTATAATAATAATAATCCTTGCATTTGATATAGCGCTTTTCACGTCGGGAGGACGTCCCAAAGCGCTTCACAGAACACACTGTAAAGTCAATTGACTTGTATATTTGTGGGCGAACACGGCAGCCAATTGCGCACAGCAGTGTCCCACAAACAGTCGTAGATTGAAAATGACCAATTTATTATTGTTTTGGGTTTTGGAGGGATTATTATTAGGCTCTGTGTGGAGTAAGGAAACTTGCCCAAGGTTTCGCCCTCTGCCTGGAATTGAACTCGGGTCTCTCGCTTGCAAAGCGAGTGCTCTAATCACTGAGCTACAGGACTCCACGTTGAGACATCCTCCTGATACTGCAGCTGAGTGTGGACAAGACGGAATACTCCTTGGGTCCCGTAAACATCTTCACTCCTGCGGATCTGAACATCCCTGTGCTGTCCCTCACACTCACCGAACCAGTGCGCAATCTGGGTGTCTAGTTTGACCCCAGCTGTCCTTCCTCCCCCACATCCAGTCCCTGATCAGGAACGCCTTCTTCCACCTCCGCCACATTGCCCGCTTCCGATTTTACTTATCCCAAATGCAACTGAAATCCATGTGTTTGTCACCTCCCGTTTAGAATACTCAAACCCACTCTTCAATGGTCTCCCCAGCTCGACTATTCAAAAGATCCAGCTCATTCAGAACCCTGCCGTCCACATACTGACCCGGACCAAACTCCTTAAATATCTCGCCAGTTCTGGCCAGACTCCACTGACTTCCCATCACCAAATGGATCGACTTCAAGATCCTCACTCTCGTGTTCAAATCCCTTCACTCTCTGGCACCTCACTACCTCTCCGACCTCTCACTCTCCAATCCACCACCCGGCGTCTCCGCTCAACTGGAACCGGCCCCTTGCTCATCCCTCGCACCCTCCGGTCATGCTTCCAGCCACTACACCCCAAAACTCTGTAACACTCTCCCTCAATCCCTCCCACCTTGCCCACTTCTTTTTCAAGTCCCGCCTGAATACATTTCTTTTCGAGCGTGCTTATTTTCCACAGCGCCAGCCTCTGCTGTTGTTTACTCTCAAGCTCTGACCCACCCCCTCTCTCTCCTCTCTTATCCCGATAGGTAGCCACGATGCCAAGTCCGCACTGGTCGAGATCCTGATGAAGCTGTTCTGGAGGTTGGTGAACGCTGAGCTCGGCTTCCACCTAACTCTAATCAGCGTCTGCTTCTCCAACCTCACCCAGCCTGTAGCCTCGGCCTCCGCCCCAGGCTCTATCAGCTTTTACTTAACACAAAACACAAATCCGGGCGGGCCAGCAGGAAGAGGAGGGCTGGTGTCCAATCGAAAAGGCACCAGTTTAGGAGATAGCACTGATTTAGGAGACACCAATGGGAACCGTCTGGCATTTGCTCCGGGAACATTGGGACGCAGTAACAAGCTGGTGTTATCACACCGTGACCTCCCGCCTGGGATTGATCCAGATGTATTTAAGGAACTTCCAACTGAGCTCCAAATGGAAATCCTCGCTGACGCTGGTGGGGAGCGGGCCCAGAGGAGCAAGCTTGGTATTTGCCGTGATCTCTTCACACAACCTGAGCAGGGTGAGGTCTCCACACATCCCACAGGTCCAGCTGAGAGCAGGTCCTGCTCGGTGCAGAGTGCAGCTCAGGGGGAAGTGGCACAGGTGAAGAAAAGTCAGCCCACTCCTTCCAGGACACACACTGGTTCAGAGGACCGGGATCCCCTACTGTGCTCAGTTGAGGTTCCGTCTGGTGTGGACCCGGGGATCTTCTCACAGCTGCCCCCCGGGCTCCAGAAGGAGTTGCTGACAGGCTGGAGGCAGCAGGCTGCAGGGCCCATAGCGAGAAGTGGGAAAGGGGAATCTGGCCGAGGAGTCAAGCGAGGCCGGAGGTCCAGCCAGGACCATGGGATCCTTAAGTACTTTAAACCAAGCTGAAGTGTGAACTGCTGTCAGGAGTCCAGTGCTCAGAGCTGTCACGCGAACAGGATTGACTTCTTCATATACAGCAGAGTCTAGAACCTGGAAGATGATGCTGGATTAGTGATGGCTTATTCGAGCATGAAAACCGGTCTCGGTTGACTTGGGAGCCCAAGACGGCAGCGCAACGGGAGTTAGTTCGAAAGCCACCATTGCTCAGAAGTCGTGGGAGTTCGACACAGCTTAACACCGTCACTTAAACAAGATGACTTTGGGAAACGCAGCAATTTTGTCCCCGCAACTCTCGGCCAAGTTAGTCAGTTGGCATTGTGCGGCTTTTAAGCGGTAGGTGGGGAATGTCTTTCTGCTGCTAATCAGCGAACTGAATTACACCCCTTGGTCTTTGCTTCTGTGTTTACTATCGAATTTCCTGCGGAATTCAGGAAAGCGTTTAAATGCAGCTTTCCGCTGATCTTCATTTATATATACGGTGTATATTAAACCCGGGCTTGCAGCATGGCCGAACCAATTGTTCAAACATACTAAGCCGCGTTCAATTGCCATTTCTTGTACGGTAAGGAAACCTCGTCGTGTAGTTCCTTGTACCTAAAACACACAGTGGCGCACAGCAGGTGCCCCACAAACAAGAGAGGTGGGAGTGCGAGCACCAGAGGAGGAGGGAGTCGGCGTGAGAACAAGTGTTTGGTTTTATTCACAATATTTACAGATACAATATTTACAATCCACTGCCTTTCTCTCCCTCACCCTTTTTTTTCCCCTTTCCTGAGAGTCCGAGAGAGAGAGAAGCTTTTACAGCACAGGGGGGGGAGGCCATCCAGACCGTCCTGTCCTGTCCGTGTGGGTGTTGGCTGACACCCCCTGAGCGGGTCCCTATGTATCACCTCTGTGCTGCCTCTTGCCCGAGGCTGTGCGGTTGTTGGAAGCCCTGCGGGTGGGCGGCTCTTTCCTCTTGCCTCTCCGCGAGCTTCCCGAGGGCTGGTGCCAGGTAACCGGGGAGAGGCCGGGGCTCGGCGGGGAGGCTTCCCGGCTCTGAGTCACCTCCTCCCCGGCTTCCACCCCACGCCAGGCGGCGGCGGCGGCGGCGGGAGGAGGAGGAGGAGGAGGGAGGGTGATGGTGGCTGCGGCCTCGGCCACCAGCCGGAACCCCGCCGCCATGGAGCTCTCCACCTGCCGGCCCAGCGCCGCGAAGCCGCCGGACAGGGCCTGGGAGATCCCGGCGCTTAGCGTACCGGCGGCCGAGGCGATGGCCTTGTCCACGGCCTGGAGCAGAGCCTGGGTGTCGAGGCCCGGGGCTGGGGTGGGCTGGGGTGGGACCGGAGGGTGAGGGTGAGCGGCCTGGGACTCGGTGTCCGAGCAGCCGCAGCGCATCTCGTCCCTCAGGAGGCTCATCTCCTCCACCAGGTCCTGCCGCAGCTCCCCCAGGGCCTCGGGCAGCTGCTCGGCGCAGCGCTGGACCGGGGCCAGGCCGCTCCGCACCGCCGCGTTCATGTCGATCAGCAGCTGCACCGTGTCGTCGCCCTGACGGAGCATTTGGCGCCTGAACACGGGCCCCACTCCCCGCTCCTCGGCCCCGGCCCCGGCTCCCACCCCCGCCCCCGCCCGGCCCGCGGACAGCCTCACCGGCAAGGCCCTGGCCTGGGCCCGGCTGCTCCCCAGCCTCCTGACCGGCTGCCCCGGCAGCGGGTGCGGCTCGCCGCCCTCCAGGTCCTCGCCTTCCTCCTCCCCCACGACGCCGACCAGGCCGCCAACTCCCCCCATCTCCTCCTCGTCCTCCTCGCCGCCCGAGTGCCACACCGACACCCCGCCGCCGCCGCCGCCGGCCCGCACCCAGGCCCCCGTCACCCCGCCGCCCGCCGTGCGGGCCCGCGAGTACATGGAGCCCGGGTGCGAGGCCGGCCTCGGGCCAGCCGTGGGGAAGGGCTCGCTCCCCTCCTGCGGCTCCTCCTCGCCGCCGCCGCCCCGGGCCTCCTCGCCCTGCTGCGCCGCCGCGGCCTGCAGCTCTGTCGGGGGGTAGGGGGGGGGGGGAGAGTGGACACGGTTACCCTGGCAACGTCAACCGCCGAGGACGCGCCGTCAAGCGTCAGCACGCACCGGCCTCGCGCGACGTCAACCGCCAGCACGCACCGGCCTCACGTCAACGGTCGTCGCACGTTGTGAGTTGCAGCACTTTACCCCCCCCCCTCCTGTGCACACCTGCTCTGCTCACCACTGTACAGAGCTCGAGACCCCCCCCCACCCTGTGCACACCTGCCCTGCTCACCACTGTACAGAGCTCGAGCCCCCCCCCACCCTGTGCACACCTGCTCTGCTCACCACTGTACAGAGCTCGAGAACCCCCCCCCCGTGCACACCTCCACACCTGCACTGTTGGCCACACAAACGGCTGTGTGTCTGTGCCAGGCCAAGCAGCGGGTAAGGGGACACGCGGTTATGTGGCGCGTGGTTAACGGGGCACGAGTGCGGGGGCCACGCTTTTACCTGGTGTGCGGGCGCTCTGTTATCGGGTGTGGGGGCGCTATGTTACCTGGTGTGGGGGCGCTGTGTATCTGGTGTGCGGGCGTGGGGGCGCTGTGTATCTGGTGTGCGGGTGTGGGGGCGCTGTGTATCTGGTGTGCGGGCGTGGGGGCGCTGTGTATCTGGTGTGCGGGTGTGGGGGCGCTGTGTATCTGGTGTGCGGGTGTGGGGGCGCTGTGTATCTGGTGTGCGGGTGTGGGGGCGCTGTGTATCTGGTGTGCGGGTGTGGGGGCGCTGTGTATCTGGTGTGCGGGTGTGGGGGCGCTGTGTATCTGGTGTGCGGGTGTACGGGTCCTGTGTATCTGGTGTGCGGGCGTGGGGTTACGCTGTTATCCAGTGTACAAGTGAGTATCTGCGTTGACCGTACCAGATTGGTCCTCCTCCAGCTCGACGCTCCACTCCCCCACACCCATCACAGGCTCAGGCCCGAACATCTCCAGGATCCTCCTCTCGTGTGACGACAACTCCCTGAGGTTGGACGGCCTGCCGTCGAGGCACCCCATCTGAGCGTGGTTATAGGCCAATTTCATCTGCGAGACACGATTTAGCCAGATTATAACGGGTGACTGAGGAGACCTTGAGCACCCGCCTCGCAAGTAAGAGGACCCGGGTACCATTCCCAGGCGTGGGGGAATCTTACAGAAGTTTCCTCACTCCACACACCTCTGTTACTGAGCAGTAAGTGGGAACCTGATTGTTAGTCGATTGGCGGATCGCTTTCCGGAGGTAATAATCATCCAGAAAAAGGAATAATTTGGGCGCTCAATCAACGACTGTTTGTGGGACACTGCTGTACGCAATTGGCTGCAACGTTTCGCCCACAAAGTGTATGTAAATTCGCTTTACAGTATATTCTGTGAAGCGGTTTGAGGCGTCGCAATGCCATGATACGGCACTATAACAAATGCGAGGGTTATTACTATCATATCAAAAGCAAGGATTATTATTATTTAGGTGTCAGCCTGGCCCATTCGGTCACTGTCTCGCCTTAGAGTCAGAAGGTTGTGAGTTCAAGCTCCGCATCAGGGCTTATAGTCTGGCTGACCCTCAAATGCAGAGTTGGAGGAGCCTTCACCATTGGAGGTGTCATCCTTTTGATGAGATGTTAAACCAAGGTCCCATCTGCCTATTCAGGTTAAACATCCTGCAGGGCTATTGGAAAAGTGAAGGAAGTCTCCTTGGCTCTCGCCAACCTGCACTTAATACTCTCAGAATTAGATAAGCAGGGTGCATCTTCCCATATATACTGTGAAATTTTTCTCATATTCCCCGACCTTAACATTCAATTAAATCCCCAGCTTTCCCTTTTACTTCCCATCCAGTCCCGCACCAAGATGACTTTACTTGCACTATATTGCCCAAACCCTCACACTCCTCAATGTTGTTGAAACACTCATTCACACCTTCGTCATCTCACACCTCGATTTTTCCAATACTCTCCTTAATGGTCTCCTAGCTCCACTATAAACAAGGTCCAAATGATATGAAACTCTGCCACTTGTGTCCTCACCCGAACCAGGCTCCGCACCCCCATCACAACAACTTGGCATTTATATGGCGGCCTTCACGTGGGGCAGCGTCTCAGATGGTTTGAAAGTTCTGGAGCATGATGCCGAGCTGGGGGAGGAGGAAGGTGACCATAAACACGCTTGAAGAGGCAGTTCTTCAGGCATTATCTGAAGATGGGTAAGAAGGCGGCAAGGCGGAGGGATAGAGTGAGAGTTCCAAAGCATTGCAATGAAGTGGCTGAAAGCCCGGCCGCCGATGGAGCGGAGGGGATGAGGGACAAGCAGGAGGCTGGACCTAGCCGAGCAGAGGCAGCGTGTGATGGATTGGGGAATAAGCAGGTTGGAGAGGTAGGGAGGTGTCAGGGCGTGAAGGGTTTTGTTGGTGAGTGTGAGGATTTTGAAGCTGATCTGTTCTGTGACAGGGAGCCAGTGGAGCCTGGCATGGACTGGTGTGATCCTGATATAGTGAGTATATGGGCAGCCCAGTTCTGAATTTCCTGAGTTTTTTTGGATAGTGGAGCCGAGAGAGACTGGCGAGGAGCGCATTAGAATAGTGAAGAATAGTGAAGGCGGGGGATGGCAAAGAGTGGACGAGGGTCTAAGCTGCTTAGGGTGTGAGGTACGATTGGAGGCGGGCGATGTGGCGGAGGTGGAGGAAAGTGGTCCTGATCAGAGACCGGACATGGAGTAGGAAGGAAAGCGGGGATGGAAACTGATGCTCAGGTTACGTACAGAATTGGTGAGTCTGAGGGATAGCCCGGGGAGGTTGAGGAAGTCAGAGCCGCAGGAGAGAAGATTTTGACAGGAGCCAAGGAGTCCAGCTGCCGTCTTGTCGACATTCAGTTGCCAGAAGTTTTCGCTCATCCAGGTCTTGGTGTCCTATAAACACGCTGACTACTCCATCAGCGGATCTGGAGTTGCAGCTGGAGAAGGAGATGTAGATTTCGGTGTCATCTGCATACATATTGACCTCTTGTGCCCGGATGACATCGCCGAGAGCATGTAAATAAGAAAAGTGGGGGGGGGGGGGGGGGCGAGGATGGAGCGTACTGGGGTACGGTACCCTGCAGTGACCAGGTAGGGGCAGGAGGAAAAAACATTTGTGGATTAAGTCTCAAATCTGGCGAGTTCGTTCCCACTAAGGAGGATGAGGATGGCATGATCAACTATGTCGACTGCAGCGGAGAGGTCCAGGAGGACAAGGAGCCAAAGGGAGCCCTGGTCACCTAGAGAGAGGACATCATTTGTGATTTTGACAAGCGCTGTGTCTTTGCAGTGAGTAGGGCAGAAATCAGACTGGAGGGGTTTGGGTATAAAGTAAATATTGTCTTTCACATCGGATAGTGCGATGGGGGTATGGAACGGGTGAGAATACAGGCAGTTAAAATCGCTTCTCGGACTAGCACCCCCCCTACCTCTCCGATCTGCTCACACCCCACTCCACCACCTTTGCATGTCCCTTATGCATATTGCTCCACCATTGGCAACTGTGCCTTCAGCCACTAAGCCCCACATCTCTGGAACTCCCTGCCTTAATCACTGCTCTAACCCTGTCTTGCCTCCTCTTCAAATCACACCTAAACAGTTCGACCATCCCTTCGGTCACCACCTCTCTCTTTCCAGCTCCACGTCAAACCACACTGCTGTTAAGCGCTGGGAGATGTTACTTGTGTGAAAAGCGCAAGTTGTTGTTGCTACTCCACTAAGATGCAAATCATTCAAAACTCCGCTGCCCGCATCCTCACATGCACCATCATCTGCATGTCCATCATCCCAAACCTCCCCATACGCCCATGTTTTTCAGCGGATCAATTTCAAGATCCTTGGGCTCATAATCCAGGCTGAGAGTGCAGTGTTGGAGATGTGCTGCATTG